CGATAGGTAAACTGGGCCGAATAAAAATATATGATATTTGAGAACCATTTAGAACCATTTAAAAAAATTGTAAGTGTAAAAAAAACGATGAAACTATAATTAAAATTGAAGTGTAATAATGTAAGAATATATTATAAATTTATTATTTTAAATAAAAAGCCATGTGATTGACATATTTATTTACCGATATCCTTTAATTTTTTTATATTTTATAAGTGTTGTGATTTCATTTTGAAATTGAAATGGTGTATTTAAGTTGTTGATTTTGATGTACGTTTCACTTTGTACTTTTTTTAATTTTGCAATGACGGAATATATATTGGTGTGATTTGAATTGAAACTTGAATTAAAATGCGCATGAAATTATTCACATGCAATAGTTGTTAAATACGTATCCACTAATGCACAGGCCCACATATCAGACGGAAAAATAGCTTCTCCTATGTAAGTAAATATTGACTAAATAATTTGCGATTTTAGCAACTCTATCATCAACAGGTTTCAATTCCACGAGGATAAAAGTAAAAAAGTCTGAACTTTTGTCTGAAATTTTCCGGCTCTAAGAACACTAATCCACAATAATTAATCAACCATTTGCTTATATTCGAATTTTTTATTTTATAGTCTATACTTAATCCATTTTGTTGTATATTCATTATTGTTGTATTGTTGTAAGTTTGAAATATGGTATAAATACAGTTCGGCATTCATGTATGTTTGGCCAAATAAAGTGACAAGCACGATGGATGGCTTTTTCAAAATCACTGATAATGGCTATTGGTCTAAAATCATAATTTACAGCCCTACATTTTTCACGGACGTGTTTTAAATAGGAAATATATGTGTCTGAAGATTTTCCGGTTAATAAACAAAAAACAAGCAATAAATAACGACCATTTATAAGACCGTGTATTGTAAACATCTGTTTAAAAACTTAGCTCAGTATGAGAAAGTTCCGTTAACATATATATATATTTAGATATGCAAAACATTTTTAAATTTGTATTTCAGCTAAAAATGAATATTTTTTTCTTGTCTATCATTAATTAATAAAAAAATTATATTTTTAACTATTTTCATACTTTTTAATACTTCATGTACTTCGTCGATCGATTTTTGGTAGTGCAGGCATTGACTTATTTCTGGTGTTGTACGTATTCTTTTTAGATACCAAATATCATTTACTTGCAGATCTTGCGCGTCAGGTACACTGTTTACTACACTACAGACATTTTTATTTGGCCTACTGCAGATATCCTCAGTTGCTTTGCGTTTGGTCACGGCAGTAACACATTTGTACTTGTAGTTCTTGGTCCCTGACAGGCCATGATCATAATTTTTCTCCGTGATGTAATTATTTATTCCAAACGTTTTTAAAAACGCTGTATATTTGCGGTTTATTTATCACCACTTTATTTTGCCTAAAGCTTACGTACGAGTTACTTTAGAATATTTAAAATGTTCAAGTAAATAATGGGCAATCAATTAAAAAGTCAAATTTATATTCAAATATATAATACATGTCAATGCAAGTGTAATGAACTGTTATTGAAGTCTTCCAACAGTAAAAATATAATTATTAAAAATTCCTTTCTCCCATATTGACCATCATACTGCTATGATCTCTATAATAATACATGAACAGAGGATAAAAAAAAAGTAATTTCCATTTATTTCACATGGTGAATTTTTAATTTCCCCATCTACGTGTGCTTGATATGGTTTATAAAATTATTTTGACGGTTCATGGTCTGTTGGATAAAACAGATTTTTTTTTTTCAATATGCACAGTCTATATATTTATTTATGAATATTTATGAACTCGTTTCAATATTAACCTATTATCAGATTATTACTAGGCATGTATCATGTTTCTCGATAGACCACAGGTAACATAATGCATTCTGGTGTCAATGCTCCATGTTAAATAAACACGTCCGACTAAGATCTAATTCCGTAGTACAAAATAATCCATTACTCTAGATCAGGGGTCGGCAACCTTTTGAACTATGCGGGCCATATTTTTTTTCAAATGTTTATCAAGGGCCAAATTAAAAAAAAATGTTTACATATGATATATACTAATAATTGTATTGCTATTATATTTGATTATTTTACATAGAAATACAAATGTTACTGGAAAAAATTGCTTTTAAGACAAAATTTAATTGAATAAAAAATTGTAAATTTGTAATTAATGAGATTTCTGTGCCTGCAGTTTATCAGATAAATTTTCGATATCAGCTTGTTATTGAGACTCGTAATACAGCGATTAAATGTTCATCACTAAGGCGTGAAGAGTGCTTATTTTTTCTGTACTTCACAATAGAAAATGTCTGCTCACATATATATGTACTTGCGAACGCCGCAATAAGTTTTTATGCGTATTGTCTGATTCCAGGTAATGTAGATATTGGAAGACAACTATAAAACTGAGGCAAACTAGTTGCTTCTTGAAAAGAATTTTTTAGAACCTCTTTATTTTAAAGTTCAATGACTTCCATTTGTAAATAATTCTTGACATTATTTATGTCCACTTGAAAAGAATTCTGGAATAATTTTATTTCTTTATCGTACTTATAAAAATCATCAAATCTTATTGAAAATTCGTTTTGCAATCGTTTAATATGGAGAAATTTAGGTTTAATTAAATCCCGCTGCAATGGTATTACAAAAGATTCAATCGCAGATTAACAACATGAAAAAATGATACAACATTTGTTGATTGAAATTATTGTACAACAGTTTCAATTTTACTTGAAACGATTTAATATCAGTATACATATCTGAGAATAATTTTCTTTTGCCTTGTAATTTTATATTCAATTCATTCAAAAATGTTGTTATATCTGTTAAAAATGCCAATTCGAGAATCCATGATTCATCTGATAATTCAGAAACGATTTTATTTTTTTCATTCATAAAAATTTCTATTTCAAAAAAATCGTTTAAGTGCTGCACCTCTACTCAACCCATCTGACTTCTGTAAAATATATAACGTCGCCGACTCAATTTCAGCCAGAAAATATTGAAATTGACGATGACCCAAACCATTTTTTCGAGTATAATTTATTGAGGAGATACAACACTCTAAACATCTTGATACGCAAGAACTTTACAACACAATGCTTCTTGGTGAATTATACAATGAAAATTCATAGAAATTTCATAATCGTTTTCTAATAATTTTTTCTTTATTCTTCCTACCACACCTTTATTTGAACCACTCATATTTTTCCCACCATCTGTTGTTACACTTACTAATTTTTTCCACTCTAATCTTAAATTGTTTAGTGATTTCTCAATACTTTCGAACAAATCTTCTCCTATGGCAGTACCTTTTAAACTATAAGTATCGGTAAGTTCTTCGTAAACATTAAAATTATCATCAATACCTCGAATAAAAATTAAAATTTGAGCTGTATCACATACATTAGTACTTTCATCCATCGCGAGTGAAAAAAATTGAATGAATTAATGTTTTCTTTGAGTTGCTGCATTAAATTATTTCCTAATTCTTCAGTTCTTCTTACACAAGTTCTAGCAGAAAGGCTAATGTTTTCAAAGTCGTTTTTTTCATATGGACAGATTTCGTCCACAACAGCAAGATACATTTTTTAATAAATTCAACAGCGAAGGGATGATTATTTTTTGATATAATTTGTGAAACTATAAAACTAGCCCACACTATTGATTTATTTTGACTAATTTGTTTTTTAAAAATATTTTGTTGACTATTTAACAAAGATTTAAAATGATTTATTTTTATTTTTATTAAATCACCAATGATATTTTAAAAGTTGATTTATGTTCACTATCATAATGCAGTTTTATGTTATATTCTTTCATTGCTGTTACTGTTTTTTGACAAATTAAACATAGTGGCTTACCTTTGTTTTCGACGAAAAAGTATAAATAAACCCACAAGTTATTAAAAAAACGATGTTCATCACAAATTTTTCTTTTTTTTAGTCACCATAATATTTGGATTTACTTGTAAATTGAAACTATTACAAACACAAACAGTCACACGTACGGACGTAATCATAGTGTAATACTAATTGCTACAAACGCAAAGTAACTACAACCATAGATTAAATATATTAGATACATATGTATTAAATACATAGATTAAATATATTTAAAATTTTAATTTTTAAATATATAAGTATATTTAATCTATCCTATGACTGAGTAGTGCAGCCATCATTATGTTCGACTCCGATTAGATAATAATAACAATTTTACCATAAATTAAACTGACTATATAACTATATAGAATAAATATCAACTATTAACGATTAAATTAGATTTTATTTATAAAGAAAAAAGAATTGAATAATATTAAGAATTGTATGAAAAATTTTATTGGACAAAAATAAAACACAAAAATTAACCACCTTTGTTTGGGCCATAAAAAATTGTTTCGCGGGCCGCGGATTGCCGACCCCTGCTCTAGATTATTAATTATCATTGTTATTTATACCAGTTTTACATATAGGTAGAATTCGAATCTATAAAACATGTTATTTTATACTTTCTAGTGTAAATAGATACAAACCATATTTAACTATGCACTTTATATGAATATAATATATACAACAATTGAATTGACGATTGAGATTTTTTTCAATAAACTATTTTTATTTTTCTAAACATGAACATTACTTTTTAAGTTGTCTTCATAATAGTTATTATTAGATCAAATAATATGTTATAATGGTAATTCGGATAGTATCATAATATCATAATTACAATTTATAATTTTCATGTCGATTCCTATTTATCAATTCTGATAAACGACTGAAAATATGAATAAGACAACACCAGACATTGATCATTTTCAGTGTCCAAAAAACGAAAATTCGCGCATTGCCAATGTCACAATGATATACATAAACGAAGAGCATTAAACTATAATTTACAGACGTTAAACATTAACTTGTTGATTTGATTACGAAACGAAAGTCCATAATTCATTAAAAGTAAATTAAACTTACTGCATTATGCCAAAAGAATCGTTGAGTTTCTCTTTTTTTGGGTTGAATTTTCCTTCGCTTTTGTTTGAACTTATTGACGTCTTTCTGATTTTCATCTGGTCAGGATCTAGTTCCTCGATTATTTCTGGAAGAAACATCATACGTTGGTCTTCGGGAACACTATATATTTGTATAAAACAAAAACGAAAAAAAAAAAAAAATTAAATTAAAAATCATAATAACGGAACCAATAAAATAAATGAAAAATAATCCATTACGGCATATGGTGAACAGATCCTCGATGCGATCTCTGCCTTAATGGCGCGGACGCGCTCGTGTATGGAATCGATACATCGGATTGGTCGAAGTAAATATCTTTGACCAACGGTACGTTAACTTTAGCAAGAAAGTCTACTGCTAAAAAGGATGCCTGGACATCATTCGTTATTAATAACATAAAAATAACTAAGTTCGAGATTTGAAATTATTATAAATTTCACGTAAATTTACTTTTGTGTGTCTATCAATTAGGAAGTTTAATTCAAAGTCTTCTTCATCATGACCAAAAGGATTTATTAATTGTTCAGCTACCTGCAAAACAATATATCTTGAATGAAATTACAAATAAATAGTTGTATATAATACTAAAAATTTAATAGTTGCCCCACGATTAGTATAACGATAATTTAACAACAACTATTATTGCATGACAATTTGTAAATATGATTGTTTTGCAATTAATTTCTTAGTTTTTTATTTATATATATATATATATAATTATATAAATATTTATTATTATAAAGAATACAATTATAGTTTACAAACATTGATAAAATACTGTACAAATTATTACTAGATATTGTATTTTATATCAAAAGGTGTAATTAGTCTAAAACTAAATCTAATTACATCATTCGAATCTTAACATTAATATATATATATTTTTTTTGACCATTCATTTGCTTAGGATTTTTTTACTTTTGCTTATGTATCCGTTCACAAGATAAAAATGAACCCAATGGCGTAGCAGAACATCCTTGTTTCTCATACGAACACATCTCTGTGAAGATAATAAAATTCGAGACGAAACCTCAAAAAAAATAAATGAACTAAAATTACTTGCACTCTTTTTTTTTTTTTTTTAATTAGTATGGTTTAATAATAACTATACTAAACAAAAATAATTATTATATAATTTAATAATTTATTTTTATATTATATGAAAAAAATAATAATAAAAAAAAACAATTATAAGTCTAAAAAAAAATACACTGTTTAAAAAAAAATTGTAACACAATAACCAAAATTAAGTACAATTTTATTCTTGTGTCTATTTTTAAATTTTTAAATTTTAAAAAATATAATATTAAAATAATTTGTGCGTAGTATTTATCAACCATCAGTGTTCATATCATCAACGTTTACGGTTGACTAAACTTCTGACAATGTGTCTAGTGTTGACGTTTGCACTTTTTTTTTATAAATATTTCATATTTATTTCATATTTAATTTATTTTAAGATAATATTTTTGATATATTTTAAGATTAATTCATTTTTTATAGTTTTCATTCAATTTAAAATTAATTAAAATAATGTGTCTCATAAATAAGTATAAAAGACATTTTTTTTTATTCAACTATTGATATTTATAACCTAATCAGAATTAAGGACTTAATAATAAAGGATTAGGATGACTAGTATAAAAAAAAGAAAATTTTTTGAACTCATAAGATTTTTCTTAAAAAACTCATGAATCTGTAGAATTTTTTTCAATCTGTACTCTATAAAATACTGTAAATTGATTGGAAAGTAAATACAAATTAAAATACAATATTTCAAATTTTTCAGTAAATACGAGTGTAAATACACATAATATTATGCAGATATTAATGTAGATATACCATATCATGAAACCAAAACGGAAGTTATATTTTTTTGATCACATATTATCATGTTATTATTGTTCATAGTTTTCCAAAGACTCTTCAGATGCTCGCCCAAGGTTTTATATCTGAATTTCATACCAGGCCGGTTTCACCTGGTCAATTCGTTTTTGTCCACTTTAAAATTTTAATCCAAAAGTTTTTTTAAAAATTAAATTTTCGAAAAGAAATCGGTAAATGGGTGTTATCCAAGGAATCCGGGTTAGGTTATCGTTATTATATTATATTCATTATTTGGTGCAAGACTCCATATGATAAAATGATGTTTCACATTCCCACGTGGCTTCATATTTAATGTAGTTCCATGTAGGACGAGCATATATAAGATAAACAGGAATTCATTGTAAAACATCCTATTTACTATGGTTTTCTATTAAAGTTCTATTTATTTAATATACCTTTAAGAGTCCCATGAAGAACAAAAACTGTACTATTGTAAACACCGGTATAAAAACGTCGACTTCCGTTTGCAGTGGTTTTTTTGATCCTTCGACGTATTGTCTTCCGACGACGGCAGTAATGAAAAACGAATACGTTGCAATTGTGACGACCTGCAGAAAATAATCGAGATGAAGCATCGTTACTATGTTTTTGCGATTTTTGCGCGAAGAGGAAAATGTATCTCACGATACTCAAATTACCTGGGTATACGCTAACGGTATACTGATCCAGTCGTAACTCCACAGCATACCGCATTTCGCTCTGAATTCGTTAAACTCCTGCGAAACACGTAACGCAATATTGTTAAAAATCTACTCTAAGGCATACTAAACTAATTTCCATTCAATGCACCTGCACTGTTTTGACGTTCGCAGCGAAATAATTAAATCAATGCGATTCGCGTATGTTATTTATTTGCGAAGAACGAACAAATAGTTAAAAGTTTTGCTTAAAACCGTTTTTACTTTTTATTTTTTTTCCCATGTCTAAACCGAGAGCCGAGCGAGATTTGTTTATCGCAATGTTACACACTCGGCCCTCATAATTTGTCACAAACTTTGTCGGCCATTGCTGTTGTTAAACAATAACACTGTTAACGAATCACGAAATTACCGTAGATATTTTCGACTCTATTAGATTTGGTCAGCGGTATTGATTGGTTTCGTCGCAAATGTGTGCTATTAAAAAAAAAATAAAAAATAATAATAATAAAAAAAACCGCTCTAAAATGGTTATTATCGCCTTCGACCCGCGTAGCATCGAAAATTGAAAAGAATACTTTTCTCCTGCGATTCCTTTCCGAGTTGACGTATAAACGCTATACCGCCCAAAGGTAAGTATACTCATTAGAGAACGATCGCATTTTACAGAAGTTACAATGATTTCAGATTTCGTCTGCTGTAACAGTAAATTGTTTCATCCCAAACATAAAACATCCTTACATCTTAACGTTGTGTAACCGTGTCGAATCGACCACTCGGCATGCTACATCACTTCTATTACGTTGTATTGTTTTCACTACAGCGGTCAAGCGAAAATCAATAATATTCCATCGACAATATTATTGTTGTTCGGAATTAAATATATTACGTTTCAACTACGAGGGCGGTTTCATCTGGTGAACTTGGTCAGCTACGTTTTACACGATGTGCTGTAACTTTTGTGGCCTACTCTCACCGCCAGATCAATTAAATGCAGTCTAGATCGGATTATTTTGTTTTATTTCCACAGATGTATTGTGTTTTCAGTATATTCGCTAAATATTTTTAAATTTATTAAAGAAAATTTAAATGATAAACTATTGATAGATAGAAGAAAAACGATCTAAACGCACTATGCCATGTTTTTTTTTTTGCTTATTTATTCATTCAAAAATATTTTAAAAGAAAACTAGCATTCAATCATCTCGTCTGTCTTTTTAACAACTTTTACTAATTGTTATGATATTGGTATTGTTATCGAATAAAAATTATTAACTGAAGAACTGTATGATGTTTTCTTCTTTTAACCGATCCGCTAAGGTTTTTGATCTAATTCGTTTTAAAAAAATAAATAATTTGCATTCAACGAGCTCTTTACTTCCATGAAAATATTATCGCTTAAGATGTTAAATTAGTATAATCAAATTTTAGGTACTGATAAAACTCAAGTTTAAATAAAATAAAAACAAAATAAAAATAAAATATATATATCAAATAAAAAAGAGCATACAAATTTAATAGAGTAATTCGTATGCTTAAAAATAAAATATTATGTTGTTATTCATCGCAGATAAAATCAATTTTATTAAATTGTGTTATTAATAATTAATATTTCAAATATTAATCCTCGTAATTATATGACTTGACGTCATCTAAATAAAATTAAAATAAAAGATCAGTGTTATCGAGTTTACTACATTTTTTTTATTACCAATTTAATTTAGTTTTCGATGATATTTTCAGAAAAATATGACCTCTAACAAAAAAAGTATTAATTCGTAAATCGATTTTATGTTTGTTAAATGTTCTACTTACATCCGTCAAAATGTATTTTTATATATAAATATAGATACTCAAATAAAAGACAATCTATACATACACTCAGATGTAGCATAATTTATTATTATGATAACAACAAAAGAATAAGTAAAACATAAAATGAATTATGTGATAAGAGAAGTTATCCATTAATAACACTCCACTTTTAACAGATTATTGTTTATATTATATGTAGGTACAGGCATTAGGTATCATTTTTTTTTTTTTTTAAGTTGTATGTTGCGGTTCCAATTCCTTTTTAGTTTGCGCGGAGATTTATCGGGTATAGTAATGTTTTCTACGAAACTACAGTTTGTATCAGGGGATTTTTGTTGGAAGTGAATTTCGTATGAAATCGTTTGTAATGTAATTTAGTGTGATCAGTTACTGATTATTCATTTGTAAGTTCTTGTGAAGAGCTTAGTCATATACCCGGGGGTTCTAATAATGATACGTAGAGTGATATTTTGAAAAGTTTGAAAAGGCCGTGAGTTTAAAGGTTTCGGATAGAACTCTAATTTGTATTCAATTGGTTCAACGTAGTTTAATAATAGTATTATACTAAAATATTTTTAATTTAAGCTTGAGTTTGAATTTTATGAGAGGTAGAAAAATATAGAGTCAAGCATTTGCTAATTCTTTTTTTAAAAGGTAATGGTCCCTCAAGTAAAATGTTTGTTTAGAACCATATCAAGATATTTTGTTTCTTTGAGAACTGGAAACTGGTTTTACTATTTTATTTTTCGATTGTGGAACATTCACCACGAAGGAGGGAAAAGGCGATGCGAGTGAAGTTGTTCTTGTTGATTTTACCATCAATTTTTTGGATCAAGCTATTACGAGGAACCGTTTGAATGTTAAAAAAACAATTTTCTACATATATATTTACTAAAAAAAAGCTACGTATTAGAAACATGAAATAAATTTAAGTTTAAATAGATGAAATTGAGATAAAAAATTAAGACGATATAAAAATGAGCACATAAAAAAAAAAAATAAGGATATAAATAACATGTATTTATGTACTTAGGACATAGGTTTGTATATCAATTTTAAAAGTTAAAATATTGCGGTCAAACTGAAACTTACATGGTAGCAGTTGTTTTAAAATATGTGAAATGCATTTAATATTTTAATATAAAGTTAGGTATTTGTACATAAACGATACATTGCCTGGGATATAAATTCGATAAAATTTGAATAATTCCGATATCAATGTGGAATATATTAAGCACGCGTCACGCGTTAGTGCATCTTCTTTGTTAATAATAAATGACGAGGATACCATTATAACTTGCATAGGAGGACGCGGGAAAACACTGGTGGACAAACAATATTACGCAGAATGAAACTTTTGGTAAATATTAGTTTTTACCATTTTTTTCCTCTTAGAATCTATAGTAGCTATTAAAACGAGTCAACGGAATTATATTAAATAAATAATAGCCTTGATATTAAATAATAATAATATTTTCATAATATTCGTTCATAATAATATTAGAACTAGAATTATGGAGTTGTAGCTATGGCAGGACATTAATAATTTTGCTCATATCGAATGGCCGTTAGATTACCTTGAAATCTAAGCGAACATTTTAAGATAAAAAAAATTTTAAGCTTCATGTTCCCAATTGAAAATACTAATAAATGTGATGTTTAAAATTTATTTGCGGAAATGTGTTCCGAATCGAGTGGTGTACATCTAGTCGAGTTTATATTTTATACTATAATACATTAATAGACGTTTCTAAATTCATCGGAACCGTGTATTGAATTTACCATTCATGTATTACCTCCATAATGAGTTTGACACCATCCGAATCTTCTATTCGTCTGGATTTCCTGGCCTCCCTCAACACTTTGGTGAACCAGGTGCATGGTACCCAATAGGTATTGAACTCCACCTTGGGCAGTGAATAAAACACTTCTATTTCATCTGCAGTCATGTAACCTGTACATGCATAAATTATTAATATATTTTCAATTCAATATGCTCAAACAATAATTTTGTTACCAGATTCGACGACATGCTCCAGTGTCGGAAAGCGTTTTTTGACCGGCGAACTAACGGAACGCAATACCAAAATTAAAGTTAAAATCAAGTACCTCATCAAGGATCTCCGTATCATGCGACCGTAATCGTCATTGCCCTCTACGTACAGTGATATGGTGTGCATTGCTCTTAAAAACAAATTCAAAAATAAATCGGTCATATTTTGTTGATGTGTCTATATTTACGAGGTCAACAATATACTTGTCGGGCCAGGGGATCGCCAGGTATTGGTTCCACCATCTTTTAGCCACATACGTTACGTAGAATCCTAGGATGAATGATAATGGTAATTGACTACTGAAGGTATCGCAGTATCTAACAATTTTTTCAAATATTCTGCAACAGAAATAACCTATATATGTAATAAATATGTTTACATTCATATGGTTTAAATTGTATTGTTAAGTTACGCAGTGGCGCAACTAGGTACAACCCCCCTCCCCACCGAAATTTTTATGAGGTTTTTACAAATGCTACATAAAAAAATAAAATGGTTTATCTTGAACACACGAAACGGCTGATTGATATAAAATATCAATATTATTCGTATTATTATTGATATTGAAGGTTTAACACCAGAAAAAGAGATATTGATGTCTGAGATGTGCAGAAAAATGGAGTGTGACGTTATATGTGTTCAAGAAACGCACAGATCTAATCAACAAAATAGATCCAACGTAAAAGGGATAAGATTAGTGGTGGAAAGGCCACATCCAAAATACGGGAGCGCAATATTCTCACACCCAATTATTGATGTGATATCAACGGGGGTTACCAACAATTAAGACGTGGAAATATTAACAGTCGACATTTAAAAGTGTACAATAACATCTATATATAAACCTCACTATAAATTTTTAATTTACTAAACCTTATAACTTCACAGCAAGGGAAATAAAATTTGCAATCGACGATTTCAATAGCCATAGCACTAGCTGGGGGTATACAGATAACAACGAGGATGGAAACGCAGTTGAAGAATGGGCTGAATGAAAACATTTGTCTTTAATACACGACGCAAAGCTTCCAGCGTCCTTTAACAGTGGACCCTGGCGAAGAGGATATAATCCGGACAACATATTTGTAAGCGAAAAAATAGAAACTCAGTGTCATAAGTACGTGCTGACGCCCATACCGATATCTCAACACAGACCTATCATGTGTCGTATGTATGCGGAGGTTAGACCTAGAACCGTTATTTTCCAGAGAAGGTTCAACTTTAAAAGGGCTAGATTGGATGAGCTCTCCAAGATGCTTGATAACGAAGTTAAACGTATCCAACCAATTTCTACCAATTATGAAAAATTCCTTAAAACTGTTCAAAAGATAGCAAGGAAGACAATCCCTAGGGGATGCAGGCAAAACTACATCGCAGGATTAAGACAAGATTTAATAAACGATCTAAAGGAATATGAAAAGGAATACGAGAAATAGATTGCAGACGAGAGAAGAAAGGACTGGTTAAAGACGATAGAAGAACTAGATATGACACAAAATAGTAGTAAATCGAAAAGTAATTTCGAAGAAATAGAGGAAACAATCAAGGAATCATTAGTGATATTAGTCGAATATTATGAGCGAAATTATTTAAGACCAAATAACCACAAAACACAAGTATGCGCTTACCACCTTAGAAATCGTGAGGCAAAGAGAAAACTGAACATTGAATGGCAAGGTGTTATAATAGACCACGTGGATAACCCTAAATACTTATGGGTAAAATTTGATCGTACGTTAACATATAAAGTACATTGTGAAGATACAGGGAGAAAAGTTGCAACAAGAAATAATATACTCCAAAACTTAGCAGGAACAAAATGGGGCGCTTGTCCTAAGGTACTTCGAATGTCCGGCTTAGCACTTTGTTATTCAGCCGGAGAATATGCCAGTTCAGTATGGCGTTTTTCAGCACACGCCAAAAAATTAGATGTAGTCTTGAATAATACAAATAGAATAATTACTGGATGTCTAAAATCCACACCTGTAGAAAAAAAATACAGATTTTAAGTGGGATTGCTCCTCCAGATATCAGAAAAGAAGTAGCAGTGATGGTGGAGAGGAAGAAACAAATAAATTATCATAGACACCTCATGTTTGATGAAATTCAAATTAATACTCGACTAAAATCTAGAAAACCGTCTATCAAAACTAGTGAACCCATCACAGAAAGACCAACAATAACAAGATTAAAAAAGTGACAGGAACGAGTCACCGATAGTGATAAAAATACAATATGGGGACATCTGACAGAATCCCTTCCCTCAAGATACAACTTATTTTGGTGCACATGAAAGACTATTAACAGAATACGATCGGAAGTAGGAAGAACAAAAGAAAATGTGTTCAAATGGGGACTAACTACAGACGTGGAATGTGAGTGCGGGGACACACAAACAACAAGACATTTGTTGGAATGTCCAATGCTACCAGTGGGTGAGAGATCGGGGATTTTATAGGACGACGGTTGGGGGACAATGCAATAAAAATTGCTGATTTCTGGGAAAGGAGAGGAATTTAAAATTACTACTGACTGACACGAAAAGAAGAAGATTGATAATATGACAATATGGAACGTTTTGTAACGTTCCGTTCAACTTTAAAAAATCAATAATCTTGCTACTACGATTTCTCGATATTCTCGATAGTCAATTATACAGATTGGTGAGTCTTATCTAGATAGTTTTTTTTGTCATCTTTTATCTTATCTAGATAAATAACGCTATGTTATCTAATTACTAATCTAAGATAAAATTTTTACTTATCTAGATAATTTAATCTAGATAATTGTCTGTATTCTTGCCAATATTAGAGTTATTTTTATTCTTGTACAGAGACGAATTCAACAAATCAGAGGTGATCAAATTCGGTCCAAGTGTTCTTGAATCATAAATTCTGTAATTAACCTGACTTTCTTTTATACATATAGATTTTTTATTCATAATCATAATTCATGTATTATTAATGAGTAATTATTATTTCTTGGTATGACATTTTGTTAGTATTTTCATGTCGGGTAAATATTTTTGGTATTTTTAAACTTAATTTCTTATTTTTCCATGGAAGTTCCAAATATAGTAGGTATTTGATTTTACTAGACACATGTAACTTATACGCTGAATAGTCATTACTTCACTCTTGGAACCCGTAAAGTCGTAACTAAGAATAATGAAAATCATCAAATTAATATTAAATGGAAAACAATATTGTTAACATAAAATAATTTTTTATGCATTCTGTATTCATCCTGATACGTACAGAGCAATTTTCATTTTTTTTTTTTTTTTTTTGTGTAACATTTTAGTGATTAACATTAAATATTGTACATTATATATAAATTATATATAAATACTGCTTAATGATACACTACATTACTACAATAAACATTAAACACCTAAGTACCTATTGATAATAATGATTATAATTGAGTCTTCATAGACATTATTAGAATATGAAATATTGATCAAAAAATAACATTTTTTGAAAATATTTTTTTTTTATCTAGATAAAAATGAAATTATTTTTTATCTTTATTTAGATAAATTTTGCATTATGTATTCCCGACACTGATTGTATAAAACGTTTTTTTGTGATATCGCAATATGAAATAGAATTTAAACAGTTTAATTTATAATTTAAATATTTTACTCATAAACCTAACTTAATCTTACTTCCTTATCCCCACCAAACACCTGCAGAAAATGCTTATTTTTTCTAAATTCACAACTCTCCCCATTAAACAATCCTGGTTGCGCCACTAAAGTTACGACACAAAGTGTTCTATAAATAACTGATGGTGTAAAGGTTTTATTTTGCACATTTTTAATTTTCGAACTGCAACTATAAATCAGTAAGTACATTAAATTAAAACTCTATACATTTAAAATGTATTATGATTAGTTGTAATACAATTTGAATACAAAGAAGTGTGAATTTTCGGTAAATATATACAAACAAATTGTATCTTGTAAAATATTTGAATGTAGTGACAAATAATGGTTGATATTTTAGATTAATAAAAACTCTTCGTGTTTATGATCCATTTAGTAATCATATACGCGTTCCATTCCTATTGGAAATCAATTTAAAAATTTTTCATTTAAAATTAGTAAAATATTGTATTGTTGATGCTCATGTTATATTATTAACATAGGATTTGAATTATATCGTTTTATACCTAGATAAAAGAGTTAATTTATTAATTGTATAACTTAATACAAAGGAGATTAATTTTTTTATAGTTCTAGCCCAAAAGTTTGACGAAATCAATCGTATTTAGAATGTTTCAAATAGTTCAAGTCTGTTAAATTATTTTGTTCGATTTCGAATTTGTAATAGTTATCGAACATGATTTGTATAAACATTAGGAAAATGTATGGTTGATTGAAATCTTTTTACAGATTTTAAATAGGATCATTCAAATATAACTATAGTTTAGAATTGTTTACCTTAAACACAATTTAAATCTTCTAAATTAATTCATATGTTAATGTAATATACACCTATGTAAATTATACGTAAATAGATATCATACAGAATATTAATTGGATCGGTACAGAACACATATTGCGAATTGGGAAACGAGTGTTAGAACGTGACAAGACTAGTCGATTATTTCATCATACCTTTTTTAAATAGAATCCCAGTAAACTTAATGATTTTACTTCAGTAACACAAAACAGTATGTGCTGGCTTAATCAAGGTTTTCCCAGTGTTATTAGGGGTTGGAAGGGTTGTTCGGACCGGAAAATTGTTTAGTTAATTCAAATATAGTATGTAAACAATGAGCTGTAATTTTTTTTATTTCCTCTCGCTCTACCCTCCCCTTCACTCTCATATTTTATATCATACACTTTTTATTTTTCTACCACCATTGAAAAAAAATGCCATCTTGCTTTAACACATCAAACAAAGGTGACCATTTGGGATTTTTAGCGTGTGATGTCCTTTAATGCTTTCCTATCTTGGTAGATTCAAGATGTAATATTTTATGTTTAAATAAAGCGCTACACAAAGATTTACAAATAGATTCAGTTGACCATCTAGCCAAAAAATACTATGTTCAATTACATAGTAAATAACAACACCATCTAAATGCTCTAATTTTACACTATGTATTCTCATGTACATTCCCTGAAAACCACCCACAACATCTAAAATGACAATTGTGTCGAGATATTTTAAACTAATCAATTATTTATCATATTGTGAAGAATTCTATCAATGGATAGCCTCCTTTATCAATTCACTAAGGTAATGTTATATTTCTTTCTTTGTACAAAGTCCTTATATTTACTTATTGTTTTCCTTTTTTTCTTTACAGATTGTAAGTTTTCTAA